GTCATTATACATGTATCAATTAAGACACATAATCTTCCACTAAAATTATGTTTCTTGATTACACTAATGTTCATGCATGCATTAATCAAGACACATAATCTTCCATTAAGATTATGTTACTTGATTAATATATTATTTAGTTGGCCTAAGCCCAATGACTCCTAATTTATATCTTATATAAATCAAAATTTGATTAATTTATCCTAACCTAGACTAAACTTCAAGACAAATTAGAGACCTTGTAAATTTAATTACAAGCTTAATCTATTTTTTTATTAACTAATTAAACACTTTAAACAATAATCATGAAAATAATTACTCATTTAATAAAAGCTCTATTGTGTGTGACTTTTTAGGTTTATGTCTAATTAGCAATGGGAGTATGATATCAACTCTTTGACATTATGAGAAAACTCTTTTTTTATTCAAAAATATTTCCAATGTATCCTTAGTCCTATAAGTTATGAGTGACATCTCTCATAGTACATCATAACTACCTAATAAGAGATGAATGTATTAAATTGATTAGGCACATTTCATGAAACCAATGATCATAATAACGATGCACTAGAATCCTTTCATTTCAAGATCCCAATCTTAGCTAAGGTCATGTAAATGTCAAACCTTAATTGCTTTGATACTATGACCTCATCTTGATTCTAATTCTTGATATTATATGACTCATATTAGAAACTCTTTTCTAGCAAATCTATCTCGTCCTAGCAATAAACTTTGTTTATTAGGAATAACTAGATAACATAGGATCTTATTCTTGTCTACTCAAGGTAATGAATTCCATCTTAATTGATTGTCTACCTCTTACACATAACTAACTATAGCCATAATATGCCATATACCTATACATGACTAGATAAACATGTAAGCGGTAAAAAAATCCTAATCACCTATGTGTGAGATAATCGTGTCATCTCGGGTTAAAGAATTATATGTACTATTATAATCTAGATGATAAATCATTGACAAATAGTTAGAAATTCTAGTTATCATCATCTAACGTCACTTTCAAGCTATTAAAAAAAGAGTCCTCATGTTTGTTCCGATATTACATATCAAATAGCATGAGACTCACTATTATAAACAAACAAAGGTGATAGTCTTTTAGATAAATGATGCCCAATCAAGTATTCTATGACCATGAACTCTTTAAAGTATTTTGTTCCAAAAGTATCTATTGCTCATATTCTAAACATCTTTGAGAATAGATATTCTAACAATTTACTTAAGGATTATATTCAAATTAATAAACAACTTTCATATAATAAATATATCTTTTATTTCCATAAAAGGATAATTATTTATAAATCACACAATACATATGGCTCTTGGAAATACATATCTAACAATCTCTCATTTGTAATAGAGCCATTCATTTGAGTATCTAAGATCCATCTTATCAAAATGATAGTCCAAGTGCTATTATCTTATGGCCTTCGTTAGTGGATCAATAAGGTTTCCAACCGATGCTATCTTCTACAAAGCTACATCACTTCTTTTAATAATATTAGATAATGTGATAATTCCTTTCTATGCATTTAGATTTTTGATGAGACCTAGGTTCCCTTGCTTGAGCTATGGCACCATTGTTGTCATCGTAGAGACAAATTGGTGATTTAATGGAAGTAATCACACCAAGTTCAATCATAAACTTTTCAATCTAAATAGCTTCCTTTGTAGCATTTGATGCAACAATATACTCATCCTCTATAGTAAATTTTACAGCGAGTACTTCTATTTGGAACTTTTCCAACATATTGCACCTTACTTACGAATAAACATAAGCTCGAGAGATAAACTTTATATCATTAATATTTGATTTAAAATTAGAATTTGTAACGCTTTCCAATCTTAAATCACCTCATTCATATGTCAAAATAAGATCCTTTATTCTTATCAAGTATTTTAGGATCATTGTGACTACATTCTAGTGTTCTAAAACTAGATTGGATTGAAATCGCTAGTCGTACTAACAACATGTGTTATATCCATCTTAGTCCATAGCATAGTATACATAAGGCTTCCAATAGCCAAAGTAGGAATCTTTATCATTTTTTCTCTATCTTTAGGTGTTTTAGGAGATGTCCTTATAGATAGATGGATATCGTGCCTTATAAGCAACCATCTTTTCTTGGAATCAAGCATGTTAAACCTCTTTAGAACCTTTTCTAAGTATAAAATTTGAGAGAGTCATATTATTCTTGTCGATCTATCTCTATAGATATGAATACCAAGAACATAGTTTACATCTCTTAAATATTTCATGGAGAAGATACTTGAATAACTAGAATTTTATAGTGGTAAGCATACCAATGCCATTTCCTATCAACAAAATGTCATCCATATACAAGATAAGGAAAGTGACTCCTACTAACCTTCTTGTAAATACAAGAATTTATTCATTTTTGATAAATATAAAATATTTAATTGATGTATCACAATGTTGGTTCTAGCTCCTCAAAGCTTGTTTAAGACCATAGATAGATCTCTTAAGTTTGCACACCTTGGTACCATCTTTGGATTCAAAACCTTTAGGTTATACCGTGAAAATGTTTTCCTCAATAAAACTACTAAGTAAAACAGTTTGGACTTCCATTTTCCAAACCTTATAATCATAGTGTGTTGCTAAGCTCATAATATCCTAATGGATTTAAGCATGGTTACTGGCGAGAAGGTCTTTTCATAGTCAACACCTTGTCTTTAGTTAAACCCTTTAGCTATAAGCCTTGTTTTAAAGGTCTCTACTTTTCCATTTGCACTAATCTTTCTCTTAAAAATCCATTTGTTTTCTATAAGTACAATACCTTCCGGCGGATCAACAAGTTCTTAAACTTGGTTTGCATATATGGAATCCATTTCGAATTTCATAAGCATCTAGCCATCTTGAAGAATCTATATATGATATATCTTATTTTTATATAATAGGATAATCTCCATGATTAGTCTTTCCAATAACCAATAACTCTTGTTTATGATAAAAAAAAAATTATATCTCTCTAAAGGATGAGATATTGTACTAGATCTCTAAGGTGCTAATATGGTGACATCATCAACGGTATTAGCTTTTTCATAGGGTTGATCAATTTGAATTTGATCATCTTATTGAATTGCTTTAGATAAACTTCCATCTAATTCTATATTCCTTCATTTGTCACCTTATTGAACAAATTCATTTTCAAGAAAAAATGACATCATTGCTAACAACAATTGTTTATTCTACGGGTATATAGAAATAACACCCTAAACATCCTTTAGGATGTCTAACAAACCTATTTTTTTTATAGATCCGGCTTCTAAATTAATATTTTTAAAATTTTTAATAAAAGCTAGACAACTTCAAATGTTAACATGGTTAAGACTTGGTATCTTACTACTCCATATTTCATATAAGGTAGTTGGAATAGATTTGGAGGGAACCTCGTTAAGGATATAACATACGATCTAAAGTGCAAACACCTACAAGAAAATGGGTAAATAATATAGCTTATCATTGATCTCCATATATCCAATAAGGTGCGATTCCAAAATATGAATGGAGATAGTATAGCTAGTCTTGACATAAAAAAAGAGGTGGTTAGCTATAGAGACTAAAAAGAGCTTCAAAAACTTGTAGCTCGCAATAACTATTACCGGGAAGGAGAAGACGAAGTCCCCACGTCCATAGTGGCTCGGCCACCATTGATGCGACCCCTCGAGGCTCTATAATGGAAGCTTCCATCCCTAATGCTAGTTATTTTACCTAAAAAATAGAAATAGATGGCCATGGATAAGCGAATACGATTGCAATAACCAAGTTTGATTAGATTACTAATCTAACTTTCGATTCGAATCGAGCACTTATGAACTCAAGAAACAATGCAACTATAATCCCCACTAATTTTGTCTTATCCAAAAGTCTTAGCATAACCAAATGCATAAGGAAATAACCTTAATACGCCCAAGACATAGCCCCTTAAAGTAATTCCTCTTACATAATGACAACCTATAACTCTCAATTATAAGCTAGCTTATTTTTCCTCTTCAATTGAACTGGAAACAACAACTTTACAATTCCATAATACTCTAATTCTAAAATTTTTAGTAAGGAGACCATTTATCAAAGGCATCCATGCTCATATCTAATGATAGTGGAATTTAGTTGGTGAACCAATGATAGGGCTGCTAGATCCTAGACACGTTATGATGAGATTAGAGATAGAAGATTACTTGATTAGGCCCTCTTAAGGGAAGATCATAAGATATAAAATTGCATGTATCGAGTGTTTTGGTGGAATCTAGACTTTTAGTTTCATAAAGATAGTCCTTTTGTCTCTATGTAGGTTAAGTTACACCATTTACCATTGTTCTTTTTTAATCTTTCTTACTTGAAATGGATAGGAGAAGGGATTGGGCATTTTTAACTTACTAATGATAAAACTATGGATTTAACATATCCTATTTTTGGAGGTGAATGTTTCAAAACCTTTATTAGGTAGGATATAGATGGGTAGTTTCTAAGACTAAGGTTTTTAGTAGAAAATTGATTATGAAGGTAACTTGGTGCACTACTTATCTTTTAGTTTGATTAGGCATTCTAAGGATATCTTTCAAGAAAACCAAAGGAAATCAAATTGTGACTAGTTAGTCGAATCCGATACCGATAGTTATGGGAAAGTAGGTGAATACGTTTCATAAAGCATAGGAACAATGGGTTCGAATGAATGACAAATCATCTTATACTATGAAGACCATAGGTAAGGAGAATATATCATATAAGAAAGGACCTATTAGAGTAATGGAAAAAGGTGAATGCGAGTTACCATAATTAATTCCCATCATTCGAGTATACCGAACAAACCTTTGTCGATAGTTTGCACTAGTAATGTAGGGACAAACTATAGTGTTGTTGATATCTATAATATTATTGAGGGGTTGGGAATGTTCATTATAGCAAAGGTAGCCATTTTAACATCTAGCATATGGCTAAAAAACATGTTATAACAGCTATGGAAGAGGAACAACGTGTACATACGACTTATATCCCCACTAAAGGGACAACTCGTAATGTTATGGTTATTAAAAGTTATGCCACAATAGTTGGGGATGTACAACACATTTTAGGTAACCATTCCAAAGTTCAGCATATATCCAAAGATAGGGGCACATCCTCTACGAAGGGAGACAATGTGAATGTGATAATAGGAGAAATCTAAAATTAGAGGTCGCTAATATTCCTATAGATACCAATCTTTTTGTACTATTGGATATAGCGAGAGGAAAAAGGAGACTTGGTTTTGGGACTTGGAAAGGATTCGAGAGGAGATAGTTCGTTTTGGGGATGAATCTTATAAGGAAGTAGCTACTACTATTCTAAGTGTAATTTTTGGCTTTTTTAACGAGTACTCACATTAGCCCTCGGCAAGTTAGTGTAGTACCTACTTTGTTGTAAATTAAGGATAACTATGATGAGATTATTTATCACACTCGTTGATGGTTGTGAAATGCTCGATTCAGCCATATGGAAGGGATCAATTTTAGAGGATGAAAGAGATAGAAAAATAGAGATTATCCATTAGTTAACTTTGGGAAGTTTGGATGTTTCAAATGTTGATTTGAATATAATGAAAAATACTTTTAAAAATTTCCAAAAACTCGGTCAAAAACGGAATTTACAATTACTTGAATATGGAAGGAAGGCAAGATCGACTTATAAAGCACTAGGCATATGATCCTCTATATTAAATTTATAATGTTAGGTATTATTTGAACTGTGGAAGGAATATTAATACTAATTCTATAAACTATGTTAATTTAATGAAGAAACATCATAAGTTAAAGTTTTTGGCTATTATTGATCCTAAATTAGGAGGAACAAAATAGATAGTATTACTAAGTCTATTAAGTATAAATGGTGTATGCATTTTAATCTAGTCAATTATCATATTTGATTATTTTAGGATGAGGATATTGTAGTGACTTATGAAGTAGTGCATAAATAGGTGGTTACTATTTACATTTTGAGTACTCGACTTGCTAATCTACACATCTCTATAGTTTATGATAGTTATAAAAGGAGGGAGCGAGCAAGAGTTATGGGTTGAATTAGATAGACTAGCTTTAGGTACCTAGGAACCATAGATTATAGGTGGGGATTTTAATATCATAGCGTCAACCGATGAAAAGATAAGGGGTAATGGTTTTAATATTCATGGCATGGTAGAATTTAATAATTACTATAATAGAATTGGTATGGTTGACTTGGGTTATCGGGGTAGTAAGTATGTGTGATGTAACAATCAAACAATCAAACAAGTCTAGCTAGAATTTGGGAGAGATTAGATAAAGTGATAGCAAATGGTTCATATATAGTCTCTAGACCTAACCTCACCATTCAACATTTAGCATGTACGAGTTTTTGATCACTATCTAACATTAATTTGGCCTAACCAAATGAGATGTAGCTATATGATGTTTCAATTTCAATAAATATGGTTAGAGCATCATGAGTTTACTGATTTATCGAGATCCATAGAGGCAAGCGGGGTGAGCGAGTTCATTTATTAAGGTTTTACTTCAAAAATTAAAACATCCCGAGAACAAGCTATGAGTGTGGAACTAGAAGGTTTTTAGAAATATAAGAAGGAAGATGAAAGTTTTACAGGATGATATCTTTTGGTTAGATTTAGACTTGATTCGGGGTTGGAATAATTGTTCAACTACTTTATTTTAGGGTAAGAAAACTAAGCTAGCTCGGTTAATTAGGTGGGAAGATATGTTGAGGCGGTAGACATGAGTCAAATAAGTTACGGATGGAATAAGAATATATCATTTCTCCATGCATGTATTAAGCATAATGTATAGAGATCAACCTTTAAAATTTGATAGCCAGATGGTACTTTTATGGATGATATGGCTATAATAGGTGCTTAAGTTCGTTAATTATTTTTAGGCTTTATTCATAGCTGGATACACTCGTAGTTCATGATTCCTTATTCATAAGGGTTCAAAGGTACGTCATCGATGATATGAATTCTAGTTAACTGGGTCACTATAGAGTTTGAGATCTTGAGAGCAATTGAGGGTTTGAATTCTTCTTGTGTCCGGGTGATTCACGGTTCACTTCTATAATAGTTGTTAGGATGTGATTCATCTAGATGTTATTGCATTAGTCTAGGATTTCTTTAAAGGAGGATAGCTTTCCAAAGGTATGTCTTCTACTATTTTAGTTTTGATTCCAAAGGTGGATAATCCAACCTGTCTTAGTGATCCGAGGCTAATTAGTTTATCAAATTATAGTTGCAAAATAATTTTCAAAATATTGGCTAATAGATTGAGTGTAGTTTTTCCTAGTTTGATTGATTAGAAGTAAATTAGGTTTGTCAAAGGGTGTAATATAATTGAAAATGTGGCTTTGGCTTAAGAATTGATTGCGATTTTAAATAGAAAGTCTATAAGAATAATCTAATTTTTAAATTTGATATATCAAAGGCTTATAATAGGGTTGAGTTGCCTTTCTTGCTTCGGGTGATTCGGGAAGTGAGGTTTAATAACATATGGTGTGGTTTAGTTTATAGTCGTATTAGTAATAAATAGGATACCATTTGTATAAAGGTAATAATTTTGGGTTTTGTAAATCAAATACGGGAGTGTGATAAGGTGACCCATTATCGCTTCTACTCGTTTATTTTAGTTCGAGAAAATTTTTTCGTTAACTTAAAGAGGCAAATTTTAGAAGGTCATATTCAACCCTATGGTTTGGATAGAGGTGCTTTGTTTTTTTCTCATATTTTTTATATAGATGATATGCTTCTATTTACCAATGGATGTAGGTGCTCCTTGAAGCAATTGAGGGGCTTGCTAACTCTGTTATGAGAAATATTCAAGATAGCTCCTAAATGTGGCTAAGAGTGGGTTTTACACTCCTAAAGTATGACAACTCATCGAATAGTAGCCATTAAGTAGTGAATAGGATGTGGACACTTTCAATTTCTAATTTAGTATTTGGAAGTGTCCTTGTTTACTAGGTGAATGTGCCAATTCTATTTTTTTTCATTAGAGATGAAAATTAGCCAAAAGCTAGGTGGATGGAAGATAAAATTATTATCATTTTGGGCCGGATTGACGTTATTACTAATAGTTATTAGTAGTATTCTTATCCATGCATTAGCGATGAATTCATGTGCCTAAAAGTACTATTTTGAGAATAGTAAGTCGGATGTCTAATTTTCTTTATAGTTCTTTAGGTGATAATCAACATCATTGGATAGCTTAGAGCCGGGTTTGGAAGTCGATAAAGGAAGGAGGTTTGGAAGTCAAAAGCTTAGGACGGGTAATGGTGGCTCTTCGGGCAAAACTAGCCCAGTCTTATCTTCATGGCTCAAGTTTTTGGGCTTATTTTTTACATGCAAAATATGAGGATAGAAGTAGCATGTTAGTGGCATCCTCTCACATTTGGAAAGCGATTGTACCTTGTCTACTTTGCTTTCTATTAGCTAGTGGACGAGTAAGGAAAGGATCCATCTCCTTTTTAGAGTGTTAATTGGTGTGGAACTCTTTTGGACCCCCTCTCCCTTTGGATGAGAGATTGACGATTATGGAGGCCTTTTAGGAGCTATCTAACTTTTTTTAGTTTATACTAGCTCGGCACCATAATAAGGTAATGCATCTTCGTTTTAATAATATAGTTGATGATATATTGATTTGTACTCTAACTAAAATAGGTGTTTTTGAAACTAAAGCTTATTGGAATTATTGTCATACTCCTTCTCCTATGTGGCAGTAGGCTATAAGGATTTGGAACTCTTACATTCCAATAAGGGTGGGTGCCTTCATTTAGAAATGGTTTCGAGGTGCTTTTCTAGTTGACCTTAGAATAATAGAGCTTCACATTCCTTTAGACTCTATGTGTTAATTCTATAAGGATCATAGGGAAAAGACATTGGCACACTTGTTTCTAGAATCATGAATTGCCACAAAAGTATGGGCACACTTTGGAAATATCTTTGGTTGAAATTTTTTAAGCTTTTTAGAGTCTTGTGTATGGTTTTGGTTTACATCGATCACTACTCAATTTGATATATGTCAAATTGTTACTTTTTGTTTTATCTTATGGGAAATATAGAAATGTAGATGCAAGGCTAAATATGAGGACAAATTGATGAGTGTTGCTAATATTATTAGGAAAGTTAGAATTGGTATGCATGATATGTGTAGGGTTTATACTCCATAGAAGGTTGTGAATGTTATTGATATGAGGAAATTATCGAAGCTTGGTATCACACCAATTCAGCCAAAGTTTTTATGGGAGAAATATCTAAAATGGGAGCCTCTAAATTTTTGGAAATTGAAATTAAATATGGATGGGTCGGCTAAGAGTGGTTTTTACGTAAGTGGTGGGGTCGTTGCGAGGTTCTTTTGTTATAGGCTTCGCTTATTACTATGGGGAGGGTTTGAATTATAAGGGTGAAATATTAGCCCTTCGGGATTGTTTACTACTTTGTAAAGCCCTAAACTTGGATTCAGCTCTTATTGAATCTAATTCATTGATGATCATCAACATAATCCTAGGCACCAATAAGGTCCCTTGGTTATACTTACTCTTTTGGAGAGTATTAGGAGTTGTTGGGTAATCACACTTTTAAAAATATCCGGAAGGAGCAGAACATGGTGATAGATAGAGTCTGTCTAATGAGGCTCTTTAGCATGAGAAAATGAGTAGTCATAGGGCTTTTGCTTAGTTTCCTTTAGAAGTAAAGATTGTAAGTAGATCGGATATGATGGGCTTATTTACCTTTAGAAAGTAATCTTGTCTTTAGGGTAAGGCTTTCTTATCCTCTCGGCTTATTGGGTAAGGTTGGTTTATTCCCTAGTATTTTTTCACGTATTTCTATTAATAAATTATCAGTGCTACCATCCCTGTTCTTAAAAAAAGTTATGATTCCTCTTTTTTGACACACCATTCAGTTGTGGTGTTTCAAAAAGGTTAAGTTATGAAACTATGCTATGTTTCTTAAGAAATTCAACTCGATATTTGAGTATTTGTCTTCTTGATCGGATCAAAGATTCTTAATACTCTTTCTTTTTTACTTTTCCACTTTACATTTGAATTCTTTGAACTTTTTAAAAGATTCATGGTTTTGCTTCATTACATAAACATATCCATACCTAGATAGGTCATCCGTAAAACTAATGA